AAAACCCCGTTTTGAGCTGTTTGCAATTTTTTCCTTAATGATCTACTCGAATAAGCCCGAACTGGGTATGCATAATCCCCTATCTTTATGTATCTAAAGAGAATTGCTTAATCTTTCAAAAGAGGGGCCAAGGAGAAAATTCTTTTTCATGCGAAATTACTTTGACGTTTTATACGATTATAAATTAGCTAAAATGATGAGCTAGCTTTGTACAGACTATTAATGCATTCTTCTTTATTTTTACAGTTAGTTTTACAGTTTACAGCAATATTTACATCATCATTTATGAGTTTTAATGAATGCATTGTCTTCAAATTTAATTCGTGTAGTCTTTCATTACACGAATTAAGCACTTTGCAAAGCACTAGCTGATCAAAAGCACTTTGCATTATTTTTCTCACAGTATTTGATTTTAACAGTTTCTTATGCGGCAATCCAAGCAAGCGATTTTTTATGACATCTTCACAGTCACTGCATAGAAAATGTTCCCTGCAACATTTTGCGTTCTTCACTTTACTGGAATTCTGTTTTCAACACATGTATCCATTTTTTCCGACAAAAGCAAATTGCCTTTTGGAAAAATATGGAATACGATATCACTATCTTTCTCATTTCTTTAAATTTTATGGCACTTTGCTACAGCGCAAGAAAACATATTACATAAAGGCTACTTTACAAGAGTGGTCTCAAACCTACATTGCATACAGGCCAGTGTACAATTTGAAAGTGGCGTGCAGCAATCACAGAAAAACAAAAGACAAGATATCGATAAATAACGAATTTAAACTTATAGTTTTCCTGAAATCTAAAAGTTGATATCTGCAAGAAATTTCTGTTGGCCACGATTTGAAATTCAAATAGACAGCTAAATATTAAAATTTTCAGACTGGGATTTATTCAACTAATTGTGATATATTCAACTACTAAGTAACTTTTTTAAAATTTAAACTAAAAAGAAACGAAGTTTCCCAAAAGGAAAAAAAAAAAAACTGACAATAAATAATGACAACCTATTCTCTTTCGTTTACTTGTTAGATTTTCTATAACGCAAAAATAATGTTTGTGGGTAAATCACAGTAAAAATTTTTGCTTTTTACACTGCTTAGCAACGCCATATCATGACGATTCGATTTTCATGAATTTTGTAATCTTAGAGGAAAACTGCTAAAAGGTACCATCACAAATTGTAGATACACATCGACAATCTAATTCTTTCGTAGATGTTTTAATTTTCAACTGCAAAAAATTGTTTTCATATTAATATACTGAGATACAAAGCGAGCGTTCTTATTCCAAAAATTCGTACCTTAAAATATTTATCTTTTGACAAGTATTAATAAAGTTAATCAAATTTGTATCTTCAAATATTTGAACAAGATTTATATAACAATGTAAATTAATTAGCCCTATTTCTAGATTTTACGAAGAGTTACGTTCGTTTTTGGTAATGAATGTAACGTAAAACTAGACTCCAAATCATTAAAATTTTAAATTTTTTCTTCAAATTCTTGTCATAATAATGCTAATTAATTTACGGGAAATGTATTGGCAGGCAGCATAAAATTACTTCGAGGGCCGCTAGTTTGGCTTTGACACTGCTTTACTAGAAAACAATAATTAGTTAATTAAAATTTATTTTTGATGTCCACATTGCTAGTTTTAAATAGACGAAGTCACTGTTACATCTAAACTCCGAACTATCAGCGCCTCCACATCTAAACTCTGAACTATCAGCACCATTACATCTAAACTCGAGAATAATCCTACGTAAGAACGCAGTTAGAACTCTGAATCCGAACTCGATTGACTGTTAGCTGGAGAGCGCGTAATTTTATGTAATCTAATAATTATATATAACTGTATCTAAATATAATATCTTTATTTATACAGAAGTGTCAGTTTTTATGCAAAAGCTTGGAATTATTTAGATATTTCATCGAATAAGAATTAGAATGGAACAAGCTCGGCTCCCGGGTGAAAGAAAAGGTAAGAGATTTCTTTTTACCTTTTAGAATTCTATTGAGAGATACAACAAATTTTGGCATCCCTGCCGGGACGCCCGAGCTAAGAATAAGAATTTAAATTAGACAATAAAGATTAAGAATACAATTATTGATTACATTTTGAATTTTTGAACTGTTAAGAACATGTCTGAAGAGATCTTAAATAAATTAAAAAAGAAGCGCGCGCAGCTCTCCGAACATCAGTAACGAAATCGCTTAAAGATTTGGAATCGCAGCTTTCGGAAATTGATCCGAAAATTCATGATTTGGAAGAAAATTTAGAAATATTAAAGAATAATTTCGAATCGCTTAAAAGTGTCGATACAGAATTAGAACCTCTTTTTAAAGTCGAAGAATTTGATGCTGAATTCCAAAAATCTGAAGAATATCGCCAAAAGGTCGTTAAATGCAGTTTCCGTACCTCCAAAAGAATCGACGAATTAAAACGCAAATCTACTGAAACGGTAGTAAATAACCAGTTCAGTACTGATAGTCAAAGCGAACCAAAACATAACGAGTCTGTTCGAATTAAATTACCTAAGTTAACTTTAACGAAATTCTACGGAGATATAAACAACTGGCTAACCTTTTGGAACAGTTTCGAGTCTGCCATTCATAAAAATGATTCATTAGATAAAATAGACAAATTTAATTATTTGAAAGCTCATTTAGGTGGTTCTGCTTTAAATACAGTCGAAGGATTACCGATTACTGCTGCTAATTACGATTCCGCAATTGATCTTCTAAAAGAAAGATTTGCGAAAACAGATGTGCTCATTTACACTCACATAAATAACATTTTGAACACTAAACCGTTGAAAATCTCGAATGATGTTCGCGCCTTTAGAAAATTTTATGATAATATTTCTATCGAATTAAGATGTTTAGAAAATTTGGGTCAGTCTCTCGAGAATTTATCAAGTGTGTTATGTCCAATAATTCTGAAATCACTTCCCCAAGATATTTTGCTTGAGATTAACAGAATGAGTAATGGAAGTGCGTATTGTAATATTAAAAGCCTGTGCTTGATTATAGCTCAATGTTTAGATTCACGCGAAAGGGCGGAAGTCATAAATAAGAATTCAGAGCATTCGACAGCGAATAGTGGGCGCCGTCAGTCTGCGTATGCAGTCCAGAAAATAAACACTCGTCATTTCAGCGATGGAAAGAGCAATAAATTAGAAACGAAAGCTTCTTCTGCTTCTGATTTAGTGTCCACGGGTATTAAAGAAAAATTGATTAAGGCATGCGTTTTTTTGCGGAGATTTTTCCCATTCAAGCCATAAATGTCCTATTGCCCAGAAACTAACGAATGACGAAAAGGTTGAAATACTACGCAAAAATGGCACTTGTTTTAGGTGTTTACAAAATAAGGGTCACATCAGCAAATTTTGTGATTCTAACATTTTTTGCTCCCATTGTCACTCTAAGCATTCTACGATTATGTGCAACAGAATTAATTCCGAGAGTAAAAAGGGAACGATCAAAACTGTCCAGGAAGTTGAAAATAAAGTACTTTCGAATCAAAGCAACCGTTCTGAAGTTTATTTACAAACTTTGGTCGTAGGGGTAGCTGGGAAAACCTTAAAGGGTTATTTAAGATTGCTAATAGACACCGGAAGTCAGAACACGTACATAAGTCAATATGCTGCTAAAACGTTGAAATTAGAAAAGATAGGAACTGAAAGAATTAAACATGGGTTATTTGGGGGTGTAGAAGTTTCGGAAGATCATAATCGTTATCAAATAGATTTAACAAGTTTGGATGGAAAGTACAGGTGTAAAATCGAAGCACTAGACCAGAGGAAAATTTGTTCGTCACTACCTAAGATCAAAGACGAAAAGTTAATTAAAGTAATGGAAAAAAGGGGAATCCTTATAAACGACAATCATGTGAATGGAAATCTCTGTCTGTTTCAAGAAAATCCGGAAGAGATTCATATGCTGTTAGGAGCGGACACCGCAGCACAATTGTTCACTGAAAGAATTGAACATTTTGCGGGGGATTACGTAGCCTTTGAGACCAAGTTAGGCTGGACTTTAATGGGCAAGATTAAAGAGAATGCGAATACGTCGAGTTCCCTGTCCGTTCTTTCTTTATCCTTACATGTTTCCGATACAAATTTGTCCAATCTTTGGCGTTTAGACACCTTGGGGATTTCAAGTGAGGAAAACAAAACGAAAAGTGTCCTTGGAAGAAGAAACCCGAAAACATTTCTTAAAAAGTGTAAAACGAGATAGCTCAGGGAGATATGAAGTAACCTTACCTTACCCTTTATTTTAGATAAATCCGTCTTATCCAGTAACCGTACTGTGGCAGAAAGACACCTCGTCAAAACCGAAAGTAAACTAATTAACACACGCAGAAGAAAAGATTACGAAGAAATATTTGATGAGTGGGAAGCGAAGGACATTATTGAGGTAGTAACTGAGGAAAAGGAGGAAGGAGTGCACTACTTGTCACACAGACCTGTAATAAAAGAGTCTAGTGAAACTACAAAGATACGGCCTGTTTTCAATGCATCTGCACGTTCTAAGAATTCACCCTCTCTCAATGATTGTTTGAGTAAAGGACCAAATTTAATAGAAATTATTCCACGTATATTGAATCGTTTTCGAAAATATCGCATAGGAGTGTCATCTGACATCGAAAAGGCCTTTTGTCAAATCAAAATAGCAGAAAAGGATAGAGATTTTTTAAGGTTTCTATGGTTCGATAATCAACATAAGTTTAAAATTTACAGACATAACCGAGTTGTTTTTGGACTCACATCAAGTCCGTTTCTGCTAGCCGCTACACTTAGTCACCTTTTGACTACAGTCCCAGAAAAGTTTGTAGAAACTTCTAATATTTTGAAGGATTCATTTTACCTCGATAATTCGTTAATTAGCTTAAATCACGTAGATGAAGCCGAAAATTTCGTTCAAGAAGCAAGATTGATTTTGGCTTCAGGGCATTTCAATTTGAGATGTTGGCGATCAAATTTTCGCATTGACATGATCGATGAGATAGAGAGCAAGACGAAAGTTGTCCCAGTATTAGGATTAGTATGGGATTTAGAAAAAGATAGTTTGAGTTGCAAGATCGAAGAAACATTTAACTTGAGGGAACCTATTACCAAAAGAAAAGTTTTGTCAATTACCCAGAAAATTTTTGATCCCATTGGCTTTACTGCACCGATAACTGTAATTCCTAAGCTAATTTTGCAAGAAACATGGAACCAGAAGATTAAGTGGGATGAAGATCTTCCTCTTCCCCTAAGTGAGCAGTTTGGGACTTGGTTGAACCAATTGCCTCTGCTATCTCAGATTGAAATTCCTCGTTGGTTAAATATTGATTACGAAAACGAAGATACCGTAGTGCTCCACGTTTTTTCGGATGCTAGTAAAAGAGCCTATGCCACATGTGCATTTTTAAGAGCTGAAACCATCGAAGGTGTAAAGGTTCAGTTAGTAAGCGCGAGAAGTCGAATAGCCCCTATTAAGGAACTTACGATTCCACGGCTTGAACTTCTTTCCTGTCTGATAGGTGCCAGGCTTGCCAAAACAATTCTATCAGATTTGAAACTTAAGAATTGTAGAACAGTGTTCTGGAGTGATTCTTCTACAGCTTTGGGGTGGATAAGAAGGGATCAAGCATGGGGTACGTTTGTTCACAATCGAGTACAAGAAATAAGATCGCTTACCAGAATATCTGACTGGAGGCATGTACCTGGAAGTTTAAACCCAGCGGATCTCCCATCGAGAGGATGTACTATTGAGCAATTACAGAAATCGGCATGGTGGGAGGGCCCATCGTGGCTTTACTTACCAGAAGACGAGTGGCCCCATGTAGAAGAAAAGCCTGATGAAGAACTTATAAACAAGGAAAAAAGGAAAACGATTCTGACTCTTCTAGATCATGGAGACAATTTGGACCGGTACTACAAATACTTCTCTTCATATAGAAAAACCGTGAGAATGATCGCTTGGATTTTCAGGTTTTATCACAATTTAAAGAACAAAGATAAAAACCTCACTCCTGATGTCTCAGTTGATGAATTGGAGAATGCTGAAAAGGCACTTTGTAGATTGGTACAGAAAGAATCATTTACAGGCATAAACGATCCCGCCATTCGTGCGCTGAGACCAATCGTAGACCAAAATGGAATTTTAAGAGCCAAAACGAACGTCCTACAGCGTCAAGATAATGAAAATTTCCGATATCCTATCATTTTACCTTCAAAACATATTCTTGTTGAGAGACTAATTTACGAGAAACATCTAGAACTCCAGCATGCTGGTGTCAGCACTTTAATGACAAATCTTAGAGAAAACTTTTGGATATTAAAATCCAGAAAAAGTATTCGAAATATTATCAGAAAATGTGTAAGATGTAAAAGATTTGTTTCACAAAGAGTGGAAGTCGAGCCAGGATTTCCACCCGAAGATCGAGTCAGAGAAGGGGCGACTTTTGAAGTCGTCGGTGTAGATCTAGCGGGTCCTCTCTATCTCCGTGAGGGGTCTAAAGCGTGGATAGTCTTGTATACATGTGCCATTTATAGAGCCATTCACCTCGAACTAGTTACTTCTCTATCTACAGAAACTTTCATCCAATCTTTACGTAGATTCATTGCCAGAAGAGGTAGACCTTATGTGATATATTCCGACAACGGAACTAATTTTGTAGGGACTAACAGTGTTCTTAAGAAAGTTAATTGGAACGCCATATGTTCAGCTGCTTCTATCCAAAGGATACGATGGAAGTTCAACCCTCCGACCGCCGCCTGGTGGGGAGGTTGGTGGGAGAGGCTTCTGCGAATGGTGAAAGAAAATTTAAGAAGAGTCTTAGGTCGAACGTCCTTAAATTATGAAGAATTATATACTGTATTATGTGACTGTGAACAAGTGATTAATTCGCGACCTATCACATACGTATCAGAGGATAATCAAGATCCATCACCACTGATCCCTATGATGTTTCTGCAAGAATTGCCGTCATCAGGAGTTCCTGATATGGACTACGTAGATTCCAAAGAACTAAACCGTCGAGCCAAATACCGACAGAGAATAAGACATGATCTACGAAACAGATTTCGTAATGAATATCTTGGTCAGTTGAGACAACAGGCAATAAAGAAGGGAAAATTTCAACAGTTGCAAGTAGGCGATGTCGTTCTATTGGAAGACAGCCAGAGACGACGCATACATTGGCCTTTAGCCAAGATAGTCGAGCTTTTCCCCAGTAAAGACGGAATAGTTAGACTAGCGAGGGTCAAGACAAGAAATGGAATTCTGCTTCGTCCAGTGCCCCGGCTTTTCCCGTTGGAGATCTCTACTTCCGAATCCGTTGGCCCTCCGTTCCCCGACAGAGCACCTCGAGATAGAAACGACCATGCAACTGGTCAGGCTGATCAGGCTGCTAGTATTCCAGAACCTGCCTCAAGTCCTCGAGTGATGACCAGAGCTGGACGAGTTGTTCGGCCTCCTCATCGACTGGACCTGTGTGTATTGAGTTCCTCCGCATCGTCGGATCTCAATGGTGGGAGGTGATGTTACATCTAAACTCCGGACTATCAGCGCCGCCACATCTAAACTCCGAACTATCAGCACCATTAAATCTAAACTCGAGAATAATCCTACGTAAGAACGTAGTTAGAACTCTGAACCCGAACTCGATTGACTGTTAGCTGGAGAGCGCGTAATTTTATGTAATCTAATAATTGTATATAACTGTATCTAAATATAATATCTTTATTTAAACAGAAGTGTCAGTCTTTATGCAAAAGCTTGGAATTATTTAGATATTTCATCGAATAAGAATTAGAATGGAACAAGCTCGGCTCCCGGGTGAAAGAAAAGGTAAGAGATTTCTTTTTACCTTTTAGAATTCTATTGAGAGATACAACAGTCACAGCAGATGCAACATAGTGATGTCAGACTACTTTCTGTTAACTCCCCCTGCAAGGATCGCGTCGGCAAGGAGTCGCTTAAAGAAATGGCTTACCCCTTCTGTTTAACTCTGCAGCTGTTGAATATTCTCGAAGGAGCGTGTCACCAAAGGTTGCGGGACATGTGCGTGATTCCGCATGTTGAAATCTGGAATGACGTCACGAAATCAGTGGTAAAGAGGCAAAGCGTTCGAGATGCACTAAAGAACCATGTGGGTGACTCTGCTTATTGCAATACGGGATGATATCTAGAACAGGAGGAAACAGATCGCAACACGTTTTTGATAACGCACGCTTCACTGATCGTCTCATAAGCACCGGCCCTTGAACGCCTCAGATCCTGTGGTGCAGAACCTGACTTTTCTGCCTACTGATTCTGAACCTTTACCTAAATTAGTTGAAGTCCGAAATTGTTCTTTTAATGATGATGGAACAATGATTCTTTGTATAATTAAAATTAATTATTGATAAATTTAATTATAAATACTTTAATAAATCTGCAATTCTTCAGTGATTTCGTTGTGAGGGAGTAAAAGAAATTGCGTGGAGAATAGGAGAAATTAATTACCTTTTTTTAATGTCATATCAATTATTTATTTGTGTCTAAACACCTTAAATTCATAATTTTGAATATTTTTAGTCTTGTGTCTGAATATTTACCTCATTATATTACAGAATTAAAGAGAGGCTAATTGTTAACTGAAATATAAAATTAAAAAAATGTCTAAAATATATTCATAGAATTTACCTAATGTTGATTTTATTTCAGCAAACGTAACACCCTCTTTTAGTAAGATAGATTCCACGTATTTTAACATTCAAATATAAAGTAATAAAAAAAAAGAAAAGTAAAAAGTATGGGGAAAATAACGAATTATGTAAATCCGTAAGATAACTGATTTTTTAAATTACAGTGCTTGTACGAGTGCCTTATTCTGAATTTTTTAGGCTAATGCCTAATTCATGCCTTAAAACTGCCTTTCGGCTGAAAGGTAAGGAGCTAGATAGGAAATGAATTTCTCAGGCAATAAGACCTTTAAGTGAAATAAAAAAATATTCACATTATTTCTTTCAAATGCAAAAAAAAAAAAAAAAAAAAGGTCTAAAATATGTATGACAAATGAGTATTATAAAATGCATAAAAGCTTTAAGGTAACAAAATGACTTTCTGATAGGTTGAGGGATCTGTTGACTATTATTTATTGACCTCAGCTGGTTCTTCAATTTACCATGTTTAATTTAAATCTTACTGTCAAAAAAAGGCAAGTCTGTATGGTTTTCATTTAACTATTAAATTTTTATTTAAAATTACATTATCGCTTATTTCTTGACTAAGAACTTACATTATTGCTTATTTCTCGACCAGAAGTATACAAATTCAAGACATACTTGAAAAACATCTGATGTGAACATGACGTTCTTGTATGGCCTATTAAATTATATGCAATTTTGCCATATTTTATTTATATTTATTTCCTCAAACATCATTAGAGATATATCTCATTTAATTTATACAGTTTTCACTTCGCGGCAAATCAAAAATGCATAAAAAGTCAAAATATTGTCATTGAAAATTGTAAAGCAAAACATCATTAAAACTGTAATAATTTTTACAATTTAAATTAGGGTTTCTATGCAAGCTTTACAAAAAAATTAATATTTTACTGTGCACAAAGTGGAAGCAGCGTTTGAATGGGGAAAAACTTTCAAAGGGTGTCGAAACCCCAAAATCTTCAGAAAACGGTGATTTCGGATTTTGCATTTTCAAATTCTCTACACTTTTATCTTTATAAAAATGCCATTCTTTAATCTCTATGAAAATTATAACTGTAAAAAATCTAGTTTTAATTTGTCATCGAATGCTTTGATCAATGAGGATTTTTACATAAAAACGCGTTTTTCTCCAAACGTGATTTTTTTGTACCCGATGTACCTTTTTTTCAGGAACTACTGCTCACTGGTATCTAAAATTTTTATGGCTTATTTATTAGGTTTTCTAATATTTACTGAAATGAGCTTTTTGTGATAAACTAAGAAAAAAAATTATGTGTGAGAAAAGTGCTAAATTTTACTATGCCTAACAAAATATTCTGTAAAATTCAAAATGTTTCAAAAGCGCATTTCAGTATAATCAGATAGGTATACTTTAATTACACAAAACATTTCAAGCGTGTATCTACAGCAGATTTTGGGAAAAGGTACATAGAAAATGGCCAATTTAACATTTTCGGTATAGGGTTTGCAGGTACCCATTAAATCTCGAAGAGCCGTTTTTCATTTGACGCAGAATTTACCCGAGATGAAAAGCATAATTATATGACTTTATTTTTTTAAAATAGTTTTGCTAACATAGTATTTTCCTGTTGAAATTAATAAAAAGTAAAGCAATATGTATTTACAATATGCTACAAACTTATTTTGTATAACAATTTGCCTCTTTAATCGGAATCCCACTCGACTGTTTGTTCCTGTCCAGTTCACTGAAACACGACACATGGAGCTTCATCCGTATTGCCGGTAACCAGAATGTGCTACAAAAATATCAATTTGAGCTCTTAAGCATTTTAGGTGTCATGCAAAATTAAACTAATTTTAATGCAGGTGAATAAAAGTAAATCTAAACAAAATATTTATTGAAGTCAATAGTTTATACTGCAAAAAACTAAAATTTCTCAACTTCTTGAAGGGGTATAAATGCAATTTGCAGATTCAATGACAGAATAAAAAAGAGAACGGATTAAATATTCTTTTCATTTATAACTAATATACCAATTAATTAGGGTGTACGGTACGCAAAATAATAAAATTAATGTCTAGTGTTTCTTGAAATGTGGCGTCAGAATACTTTGTTAGTGTGAGAAGGGAAAATTTCTCACACCACGCAGTTTATCAGCATGGACACTATCGTAGCATTAATCTGAATCGCAGAATAAACGTGCATATAAAAACACCCGTGAAACAGGTTTTCTCTCTTTTTCCTGACTTCAGCTCGCACGAGTGTGCGGGGCTGTGGCCCTTGCATATCTCACGCTTATGGCGTGACGTTATTCTTTTTGATGGAAAAGAGGGAATGAAATATCCTGAAAATTGCACAAATTAGCTGAAAATGATTAGGTTGAAAACTGGTCTGTCTTGATGCCGTGCTAATATTTAACTCATCCTCAAGTAAACTATTAATGTGTGTTTCGCATCAAGAAATTGGTGCCATTTGTCATTGGCTCGCCTCCTCGCCTTTATTACTCTTTCAATGCAATGTACTAGATATATCGATTTCAGACCAGCAAATATTGAGCACATGTAAATTGACTTGATACTTGTAGGTAAATTGTCACACACAACACCACAGTTAGTCGCATTTATGTGCAAATATTTTTATGGTTATGCACTTACAGGAGGCTGATCGGTTATTTCCTCTAAAAATGTTTCTTTCATTTTATCATTTTATAACATGAAGTAATAGGTAAAAACATAGAAATGAATTCAAGCGTCTTATAACACGTGCAGAAAATAAATGAGTCTTCCAAAAGTCATTTTTCCTCAACTCATCTTTTTCTCTATTCCTCATACGTAACGTAAATCAGCGCATAGGTCTGAACGGAGAGGATGAAAGAATTCAGGAAAAAGGTGAAGCCGGGAATTGTTTGAGGAAGTGTCCCGGAGGAGAGAACGACCGCGCAAAGTGGGACGAAACGAAAGAAAACGGGAAACGACGCTAGTTCCGGTCTGATGCAGATTTTGTTCCAGAAAGAATCTACACTTCGTTCTCCTCTCGAGAAACTTTGCTTTTCTTCTTTTATTGTTCCATTTTGCCGTTTTTTATTTCTACTATTTTCATACTTTTTTCTCACTCCCAGAGAGAGAGAGGAAAAGAATAAAAAACAAATAAATAAATATAAAAGGTACTAAGAATCCGGATCGATTGAGACCGAGGTCTATCTCTTTAAGCCATAGGGGATTTGCAGAGATTTTTCGCCTTTGTTTTCCATTTTTTTCTCTCTCTCTTTCTTGCCAGAAAGTTTCGTTTTCGTTTTTTTTAAGCTCCCCCTCCCTTTCCTCGTGTTCTTGGGGACACCGTTTTCGCATTTTCTCGGTGCGAGACATTCTAGAACGCTGACTTAGACACCAAAGCGCTACAAAAAATGGCACAAGAGACTGGTATTACAAGATTTTTAATTAAAGGTGGAAACTCCCTAACCAGAAACTGGAAGCAGATTACTGAAACTATTTTGAAAACACGGTCGAAATTACACAATTTGGGGAATCCAGAATAATCGAAAGCTAAAGAAAAGAGTAGAATATTTAATAACGTCTAATATATTTATCTTCGTACAATGCATCCCACAAGAGAAAAAGCAAAAGCTTTTTCTGATTTAGAGTTACTTCATAAATTTATATATTTTACGAAATTGAAGTTGAGGTATTTTGCTGTTTTATAGATTTACGTGTCTCATTTCTATCCTCAAAAGGATAACGAATATTTAATGCATTTCGAAATATCTATTTTTTAAATCCCCCATTCCTCAGAAGGGAAAACAAACATTCAGCTTCTTACTCTGCTTAAAACTCTGCGTTGTATGTTTTACCATAATGCGACATTTTAAA